AAAACGTCAGCCTTCCTGCTCCTCTGATGCTGCTTGGCCTGCTGTGTTCATCCAGCTCTACACCTTGTTATCTCTTGTTATCTAAGTCTTGTTGAATGCAATCATGGAATGCTTATGTGTCAGTGGCATTGTGAATGGTACTGACCATTGCTGTTGTCAATAAGGAACTTCTGACCTTGTGATGGAGGGAAAGTTAGTGACCCACCTGAAGATGTTTGGAACCTGTAACATTGTTCTGAGGAACTCGTGCAGTATTCTTGGGGCTTCAAGGATTGACCTCCAACAGGCACAGCCATTTGCTTTTGTGCTAGATATAGTTCCTTGATGCCACACTCAGGAAAATTCTGTTTTTGATGTCAAAGGTGGAGACTCTCTCCTCTAGAGTTCATCTCTTTTTTGTCCACTTTGTGAATGAGGTATGGTGCAAAGTGTCCACAGCAAAAATATAACTGAGAATAGGTGAGCAGCTTGTGGCTGATTAAATGCCATTTACAGTCATAGCCATAGAGTAATACAGCATGGAAACAGGCCCTTCAGCCCAAACTGGGCCATGGTGCCCACTCGGCTAGTTCCAATTGCCTGCATTTGGCCCATATCCCCCTCAAACCCTTCCCATCCATGTACCTATCCAAATATTTTTTTAAATGTTGCTATTGTACCTGCCTCAACCAATTTCTGTGGCAGCCCATTCCATATATGTACTACTCTCTGCATGAAGAAGTTGCCCCTCAGATCCTCCTTGAATTTTTCCCCTCCCACCTTAAACCTATTTGACAGCACTGCCTGTGAAACTTCCCATCACTGATTGATTGAAAATAGACTGTTTGGGGTGATAATTACTCAGATTGGATTTGTCCTGCTTTTTGTGGACAGAACATATCTGGGAAATGTTTCACATTATGTGGTGGACACCAATATTCTATCTGTATTGAAACAGCTCGCTAAGTACTTGGCTAGTTCTAGAGCACAATTCTTCACTATCACAACCAGAATGGTTTCAAGGCTCGTAGTTGTGTTGCAAACTAGGATCAAATGTATTCCAAAAGGTTTCATCATCTGATTTGCCCCATGTGATTCATGGCCTTCCTATGCCAATTAGAAAGTGAAAAGCTTCAGCTTCACTACCCAAATGGATGATGGTTGACTGATCATCAAACAGGCAGTTTCTCTTTTCACATTTTCAATATTTTTGTACCTGGCAATGAGGAATGTTCCAAGAAAACAAATTTTATATGCACTCAGTAGTGTCCTGGAGATGAATCTTCAATTCCTGGAGACTCCCAGGCACTCTGACCTGTTCTCAAACCGGAGTTTGAAAACCTATTCCCACACACCTGGCTGTTTTTTATAACCTTACACTATTTCTTGATATCACATGGAGAGATTCAATTGCCTGAAAACTAGCCTGTAAAAATGACCTCAGGAGGAGGCTGAGATGGATGTTCTCCACATTTCTGACTAAAGTTGGTTGCATATGCTTTAGCCTTATCATTTGCTTTTACATGCTGGGCTGTGCCATCATTAGGGATGAGGAAGCTTTTGGAGCCTCTCTCTGATTAGTTTGATTGTTTGTTTTCATTATTATGCACAAGTTGGGTAGTGACATTAGGCATTTAGTGCTAAATGTAAAACATCTGAAGTAGCTATGTACAATGCATTCTCCCTCCCTAAGCTGTGCAAAAGCTGAACATCACCTTCTGGCTCCCCATTGAAATGTGTTGAATGATATATAGTTCATGCAGTGACTTTGAAGATATCGTCTACGCTTACCGTAAAATAAAAATTAGTGCTATTAGCAGTATGGTACATCTTAATTATTTCCAAACGACCCCTCTGTCATAGAAATGAATATCTACATCTCATCTCATTCCTTCAGTTTTTAATTAATGTTTACTTTGCCTCTCTGGCTTTTGACCACAACCCCCTCTCTCTTGTTTTCTGTACCCAATTTGACACCTCACGATTCTAACTGACAGACGCCATGCTGCTAATGAACAATTCTTCAATCTAGTTGTTTGTTTGCCCCTGTTTACACAGCTCCACAATGTGCCACAAAATTCAAATGACCCACTGATAGCGATGTTCTATGGAAAACCCAGAAGAAACATTAAAGGGTCATGCCAGTCTTTCCCTTCATCCAGCAAAATTGAATGCAGTAAAGTTTAATTAACTGACCTTTTGGTTTCCTGTAACCAAACCACTATGAATCTTGCCTTCACTCAGTAATGTCTGGCACTTCAGGTGAATGGTCACAATTAAATATTGATATTGTTCATTCATTATTAATAGCTAATAACTTACCTTGGTATTAACAACAAGCATTAACAGACCTTTATTCAAAATATACAATACATTATAAATATTTGTTACTAATTCTATACAGGCTGAGACTTCACAGCACAGGATTAACCAGTTAAGCATAAAATTTGTGTTGCAGTATGCCTATATTACTACGTGATATATTTTGCATTGAGGACACACATAGGACAATTTTGCTTTGAAATTTTGTTATTGAAAGGATGGCACTTAAAATGATTAATGCAAACATTTTGGTCCTAAATTGACAATTGAAGAAAAATAACAAATAAATAAGTCCAACTTTAAAGGGAGCTTAGGAACAGAGACCCATGGGTTTACAACCATAAATCTTTGACGATACAGATGGGTTAATTAGGCTGTTTTTGTTTCTAAAATGTACACGGGTTCTTGGCTGTCTACAGGGTACAAAAGAGATGATGCTTTTTACATAACAAGTGATTATGATCTGAAATGTGGTGCTTAGAAAGGGTAGTGGAAGCAGATGCAATAATAACTTGCAAAAGGAAAAATGGATAAATGCATGAATGGAGAAAAACAGCAGAGCTGTAGGGAAAGAGCAGTGGTTTGAGACTCATTAACTCTTTCAAGTGCCAGCCCTGACACAATGAACCAAATGGCTTCCTTCTATGTATGATTGTATCTTCCTATTGCATTTTGATTATTTTCAGCTTATTTTAACAATCTGTTTAGCAGTAAATGAAGTTTGTTCGATGCCTGTTCATTCCCAGTTTAGTTTTAAACTAATGCTGTTCTAGCAGAATTTATTTTAACTTGTGAAACTGAATTTTCTTTGACCAGTAAAATGATTAAGTATCTGTTGTGCAACGTTTTCAAATTTATTTTACATTCCACGATATATATCTGAACATTATATTTAGTTTTGCGGCTAAGGAATCTGACCTTTCTCCCAAAGTTATAAATTTATTGCATCATTACTCAATAGATAAATTACTACCCATAGAATCATAACCATGGATCAAATTTGTTATCCTATAACTAGTATAGATTATAAATATTTTGCATATTTTTGTTCAGATTGACTTACACTTTATGCTCCCCTCTCCTTTTTGTGTCTGTTTTTATAGGACATTGGACAAAGTGAGCTCCAGTTTCTGGAGGAGACAGTGGCCTGCAGTTCAGATCTAGAGAGGACTGGTGCATTACCAGAAGTTACTACAGTCCCTGAAAATGGCAACAGAGCACTAATCCAAACCAGGGTAAAAGAAAAATATGTAGATAGTTATTAAATTTGAATTGCTGTCCTTTTTTATAAAATGTGTATTAATTTTAAAATTTCCCTATACTCAGTAATGTTTGTTTTATTTGTGAGGATATTTGAAGTTTGCCACTATTTCAGAAGATTTTAGAAATATTTTATTTCAATTGTAGTTGAGAATAATAACACTAATGCTACACAAGTGCCAGGCAATAAGCATCTCCAACAAGAGATTCCAATCATCTTCCCTTGACAATCAATAGCAGTATGATCAGAAGCAAAAACAGAAATTGCTGAGAAAGCTCAGCAGGTCTGGCAGCATCTGTGGAGAGAAATCAGCTAAGGTTCAGGTCAAGTGACCATATCTCAGAACTGAGGAAGGATCACCAGACCCGAAACTCTGATGTTTCTTTATGTATGCTGCCAGACCTGCTGAGCTTTTTCAGCAACTTCCGTTTTTATTGCCAAATGCTACCTTGATGTTAAAGACAGTCACTCTCACTTCACCCCTCATATGGAAACTATTAGGCCAGATGATCAAAGCTTGGTCAAGGAACTAAGTTTTAAAAAGCATCTTAAATGAGGGAGAAGGGGAGGAATCCCAGATCTTAGCACTTTGGTAATTGAAGACATGTCACCAGTATAGCAATGATTACAATGAAACATATCAGAGAGGCCTGAATTAGATGAGTGCAGATGTCTAATGGATGAGAGGCTAAAGGCAATTAGACGAGGAAGAGACGAAGCCATGACGGATAGTGAATGTGAAACTCGCAGGTTATGTAAACCTATTGGTAATTTCAGACATTCTAGCTACAGGAAGATCTAACTGTCAGGTGGTGTCTTCATAGTTCTTATTTGACTCTGTAATAATGTCTGGATGTTTGCATACCTAATTTAAACTGCGTTGTTCAATGAGCATGCATCAAAAGTTAGCTAACTCTTCCTGAAATTAAGATGTTTAAGTTTGCTGGAAAAAGTTTCGGCAAGAATGATCTAGATGTTCCTTAAATGTCAGTACTTCCACAGAGATCATTTTTCACTTGATCACCAAAGGATGGTTTTATCCCAGCCTTCAATGGCTGTCTATTCAGATGATTTACAACCATCAGGACAGCTCTTTATTCTTGGCTTTAGCCACCTTTTTACATTTTGCCACGACAGAGGAGATCGTATTGTGTTCATTCCAGCTGATGGAGTTTTCAACATTTTCACTAGGATGACACACATGTTTAGGTGCAGCCTCTTATCCTATGGAGTCTATTTCCTTTAGTTTGAAATTGAATGCTTGCTCTTTTATTTGTATTTATTATACCTTAATTGGAAAGCCAATAAAGACATGCATGAGCAGCAATGAATATTAAAGTCTTTAGCCTGATTAAAATCCTATATTTATTAAGAATATGCATTAAATTGCTACACAATCAAGTGATTACATTCAAAATTATATTGGAATTTCTGGCTCGAACTCCCAAATTGTTCAAACTTGTCAAATGTGATTTATTTTGTTCTATATTGGGTGGGTTGGTAGTAGCTAATATATCATAAATTCATAAGTTCTAATGAAGAGAGTTTCCAATTTCAACACTATTGAAGACAACAAAAGGAGACTTGTACTTGTACATGTCCTGCTGAGTAAGAAGGGGTGGGGAGATCTCTCATCTCCTTACTGTTTCATTCCACTTAATAGGCAACACTTGATAATTTTTGCAACGATTTGGCAGTAGATTTTGCTATCTGCATAAGTAGGCAAAGAACAGAATCTAAAGATTATACCCTTTGCATACAGAAAGAGTAAGGCTCTGTCCCCCTTTGTTTAGATCATAGATTCCCTACAGTGTGGAAACAGGCCCTTCGACCCAACAGGTCCACACCGATCCTCAGAGCATCCTACCCTGACATCCCACTATAATCCACCTAACCTACACATCCCTGAACACTTTGGATAATTTAGCATGGCCAATCCACCTAGCCTTCACATCTTTGGACTGTGGGAGGAAATGGGAGCACCCGGAGGAAACCCACGCAAACATGGGGAGAATGTGCAAACTCCACAGACAGTCGCCCAAGGGTTGAATCGAACCCGGGTTCCTGGCACTGTGAGGCAACAGTGCTAACCACTGAGCCACCATGCTGCCTGTTTAGCTTTCCCATCTTCTGATTAAAGTCTGTCTGTTGAATTGAGTGCATAAATTTCACTATATTGTACATTCCAATGTACTTCCTTTCCTAATTAGTTAAAATGGTCCAGGAACTGAAGTCCTAAACATTAACCATACCAACTTTTTTTTAAGTTTCTTTCCTGTCCATCAATGCAGTAATTTAACCAACATGTTTTCCCCAGGTGGTAAATTCTTGATTTTTGCTCATGTTGTGTTAATCAGATTAGGCATCTCCCTGGAGCAAGGGAAGAAATTCTTGAATGGAGAAATCAAATAGAAATTACTTCACGATGAGGCGAAAGGAAGAATTCTTTCAATGTACACTATTTTGACACATGAAGGACTATATCTAAAAGGTTACAGTTGCACTTGCAGTAAATGTCTACATTTCAGGACTCTATATTGTAAAGGTCCTGCTGACTTGTATCCATCATCTTTAATTTGTTTTATTTCAGATCCCTGCTACCCCTTTTCCAAGAACCAGCCGAAGTTTTACTCATCGTGTTGAGACTGTAGTTATCCAGTGGTTACAGATGAATGGAAACAGAGTCAGAGAGGTGTCAAGGATCAAGAAAAAGTCATTGTTTCTTTAATACAAAATTAAAAATGTTAACATTTTATACTTACCCTCCACTTTTTCACTAACACCAATTTGTTTCAAACTGTCCATCCAAATGTTTAACTTCTATGTTATGATCATTTCACACTATATATTTAAATTCAGAATATTTAGCATATCAAAATTTATTGCAATTTGGTTACAGCATGAGAATTAAAACAAATATAATTTAATAGTTTGACTAAAGTCATATTTAGTTGTTTAAAGAAACTTTTATTCTTGGGATGTGGATGTCATTTGCATAGCTTCTGTTAATCATCCATCCCTGGCTGCTGTGAGATGGTGGTAGAGCCTTCCGAGAACCACAGAAGCAGTTTTATGCTGCTGATCAATTGACCAGTAGCTGACTTGTCAACATTAGTGTGTGACTGGAGTTGCACACAAGTCAGCTTTCCTTCCCTAAAGGATATGGGTGAATTGACTGAAAATCAAACAACAGAATGGTTGCTTTATTGATATTTATTTCCAAATATTTAAAAACTGTATTTGAATTCTCAGCTACTGTGGTAGCATTTGAGCTCCTACTTGCTGAGTTGATAGTACAGTTTCTGTACTGTAGTTCAGTAACAGCCAATACACTGCTGTAACCCCATGATGTTTTGGGGGTTCATTTAATTTGTGTCTATTGTTACAATTGTAATGTGGATATTGTATGTGATATACTTTATCAATGCAGAATCATTTTGGGTACAAAGTAAGAAATATAACTCAGGAGAATATCCAGCACAATAAAGCTGAGGTGTGAGGCCCTCTCTAAGGAAGGTGACTGTTCAAGGGTTTGAACTTTGCAGTATGTGATGTAACTGCAGCCTTAATGGACCAAAGTACAGTTGCATTCTTTTATCAACATCAACTTTATTTAGCTACATCAAAATATAGGAACTTCAAGCAGTGAGTACTTGTAGATACTTCCTATATTTCTGGTTTGTACTGATGAAAAAAATTCTGTAATCGTAATTGCCATGTAAAGTCACTTGGTGCAATAGAAATAAAATCAGAAGTGGTAATCTAGATTTCATTGTGTCATAAATACACACGCACACACACTCCCCAGGTAAGATCACAGTTTACCTGAACGTATTAATGGATTTGGAACCCCTTCCTGTTGATGAATTCCACAGTGTTATGATATGGCCCTTTCAGTGCCACGTGCAGTTCATGGCAACCTGCACCAAACTATGTTTCCAAACGTACTGCTCAGGCTGCAGAGCCGACCTGGTCCCTTGGCAAATGAAATGCCCTGGTGTGACCTTGCGGAGGTGGCATTGGTCATTGTCCTGATGCGTTTGTGTGTGCATGACTGAGGGATGCTTCACAGAGCTATAAGATTCTGTCCTTCAATTTTGATTTAGTAATTATAAATATGTTTGTTTTCTGAGATATACTTGTGAAAATATGAATTAGTGTTGATTATACTGACAAATATTGCATCTGCTTGAAACGCATTGAAATGTCAACCTGAAAAGAACCAATTGATAGACTGCTGCCTTATCTCTAGAATTGGAAATGTAAGGGTGTACAATTAAGTGATACAACTATTTCAATGTTGATATACAGCAACACTGAGAAAACTTGTATTATTTGAATGAAAATGCCTTCCTGAGTTGCCATTTGTTTGAGTAGAAGTATATAAAATATCACAATGGGGAATGTGTTACTAAACAGTAATTCAGAGGCTTAACTGGGCTGGACATATAAATACAAATGGCTGCAAAAGCAGGTCAGCGATTGAATATTCTGTGGCAAGTAACTAATCTCCTTTCTGTCATCTACAAGGCACAAGTCAGTAGTGATGGAATGCTCTCCATTTGTCTGGATGTGTTCAGTTCTGACAACAGTCAGTAAAATTAAAACATTGAAAATAGAAGCAGGAGTAGGCCATTCAGCTCTTCAAATGAACTCCCTCGTTCAATATGATCACGGCTGATCTTTGGATTCAGTACCCTGTTCCAGCTTTCTTCCCATGCCCTTTGATCCCTTTAGCCCTAATAACTATACCTAACTCCTTGAAAAAGTCAGTATTTTGGCCACAATCTCCTTCTCAGTTGGAGAATTCCATAGGCTCGGCATTCTGTGGGTTAAGAAATTTCCCCTCACCTTAGTCTTAAACTGTGAACCCCCTTCTGGACATAATAGTTCGTTTGATAGGCACCCCATCCACCACCTTAAGCATTTACTCCCTTTATACTGACATACCAGTAAAGAGGGACATCTTAGTCCCAGAGGTCCACATTCATTAGAGAGAGAGAGACAACTGGTGTTAGGTTTACAACACCTCAGATGAGAGACAAGGTTTCAGAGGCAGAACTAAACTTCAGCTGGTATGGGAATTGAACCCATGCTACTGGCATCACTCTACATCCTAAAACAGTTGTCCAGCCAACTGAACGAACCCTCTTCACCAGATCCAAACAGAAGGTGCTGAGTCGTCCCTTGTTTGCATTCTGGGAGTGGACTTTGCTGTCAGCGTGGACATGAAGGGTATCGTGGATGAACCTGCTGTTAAGGAATGGTTAGCACAAAACATTACATTACTGTAGGGTTTCCATCCTTCCTTCCTCCTTTAACCAAAAACACAGAGAGAGGCAAGGTTCAGAGGAGAGGACACAGAACATCATGAGAGGAAGGTTGGCAGTGAGACTTTCAGTGATAAAGGAGTGCAAGCCGAAACTGTTGGTGAGTAACAGGTAAGTTTTGAGAAATTGTTATAGCAGAGAACATCAGAACTTCAACTTACAATGTTAACTACTTAGGATTAATTAACTTAAAGGGATAAGACATGGCAGGAAAGCTCCAAATCATAGTCTGCCTCTCCTGTTCGATGTGGGAAGCTGGGCACATTTCCAGTGCCCAGGACCTGCAAGTTTGCAAGAGGCGCCTCCAGCTGCAGCTCCTGGAAGCCTGAGTTTAGGAGTTGGAGCAGCATCTGGGGACACTTTGGAGCATTCGCAAGGCAGAGAATGTCATGGATAGCACATATAGAGAGGTGGTCACACCACAGACTCAGACTCAGACTCAGACTCTGCAAGCAGGAAGGGAATGGGTGACCACCAGGCAGGGCAGGATGGCCAAGCAGGCAGGAAGGGAATCTCCTCTCAGGATAACGGCAGTAACCAAATTCATAGCACCATGGCTGGCTCTGCTGCAGAGGGAGGGATAGATAGGCATAAAATGCTTTAATTATAGGGGATTTTATCATAAGGGGAATAGATAGGTGTTTCTGTGGCCACAAATGAGAGTCCAGAATGGTGTGTTGCCTCCCTGGTGCTAGGGTTCTGGATGTCTCCAAGGACATTCTGGAGGGGGTGGGCAAACAACCATTGTGGTACGTGTTAAGCATTTGATAAGGTTCCCCATGGTAGGCTCACTCAAAGTAAGGAGGCATGGGATTAAGGGAAATTTGGCTGTCTGACCAGTGGTGTTCCGCAGGGATCTGTTCTGGGACCTCTGCTCTTTGTGATCTTTATAAATCACTTGGATGAGGAAGTGGAAGGGTGGGTTAGTAAGTTTGCCATAACACGAAGGTTGGTGGAGTTGTGGATAGTGTGGAGGGTTGTTGTAGGTTGCAACCGGACAATGACAGGATGCAGAGCTGGGCAAAGAAGTGGCAGATGGAATTCAACCTGGAAAAGTGTGAAGTCATTCATTTTGGAACGTCAAATTTGAATGCAGAACACAGGATTCTTGGCAGTGTGGAGGAACAGAGGGATCTTGGGTTCCACGTCCATAGATCCCTCAAAGTTGCCACCCAAGTTGATAGGGTTGTTAAGAAGGCGTATGATGTGTTGGCTTTCATTGGCAGGGGAATTGAGTTTAAGAGCCATGAGGTTATGCTGCAGCTCTATAAAACCCTGGTTAGACTACACTTGGAATATTGTGTTCGGTTCTGGTTGCCTCATTATAGGAAGGATGTGGAAGTTTTAGAGATGCTGCAGAGAGGATTTACCAGGAATCTGCCTGGACTGGAGGGCAGGTCTTATGAGGAAAGGTTGAGTGAGCTAGGGCTTTTCTCATTGGAGCTAAGAAGGATGAGAGGTGACTTGATAGAGGTGTACAAGATGATGAGAGTCATAGATAGAGTGGATAGCCAGAGACTTTTTCCCAGGGCGAAATGACTATCACGAGGGGACATAATTTTAAAGTGATTGCAGGAAGGCGTGGGGCGATGTCACTAGTAGGTTTTTTACACAGTGGTGGGCATGCAGAATGCGCTGTCAGTGGTGGTAGTAGAGTTAGACACATTAGGGACATTTAAGCGACTCTTGGATAGGCACATGGATGATAGTAAAATGAAGGTTATGCAGGGTAGTTTGATCTTAGAGTAGGATAATAGGTCAGCACAACATCGTGGGCCGAAGGGTCTGTAATGTGCTGTACTGCTCTATATTCTGTGTTGGTACTAATGACATAGGGATTAGGTCCAAAAAGCAGAATATAGAGAACAGGGAAGAAAGTTGAAAGGTAGAACCTCAAAGGTAGTTATCTAAGGATTGCCAGGGCCATGGGCTAGTCCAAGTAGAAACAGCAGGATGTATAGGATGAACATGTAACTGAAAAGATGGTGTGAGGGAAGGGTTTCAAATTCATGAGGCATTGGGACCAGTTCTGGGCTAGGTGGGCCCTGTCCAACCTCGGGTGGGGGGGGGGGGGGGGGGGAACTCGGGGGGGGGGGGGGGGGGGGGGATGGGGGGGTTATACCTGGGCAGGACTGGGACTGATGTCCTTGGGGGGAATACTTGGGTAGAGTGGTTGGGGAGGGTTTAAACTAGTGTGGGAGAGGGATGGGAACCAGAGGAGTAGTTTAGTCGATGCAGAAATTGAGGGAGAGGTAGAAACCAAGGCAAACATTACGAAGTACAAGAACAGGCAGGCAAATGCTGCTGAAAAGAGCAGGGGAGGTGGTCTGAAATGCACGTGTTTCAATGTGAGAATATAAAAAGCAAGGGAGATGAACTTAGAGCTTTGGTTAGTACTTGGAACTGTGACATTATTGCAATTACTGAGACTTGCCTGAAAGAGCGACAGGATTGGCAGCTGAATGTCCCAGGATTTTGATGTTTCAGATGTGATAGAAAGGGAGGTAAAAGGGGTAGGGGAGTTGGAAAAGGAGTATCTCGCAGCTGTACTGAGAGAGGATACATCAGAGGACTCATGCAGCAAGGCAATATGGGTAGAACTTGGGAATAGGAAAAGTGAAATCGCAATGCTGTGGTATACTACAGGCCTCCCAACAGCCAGTGGGAGATAGAGGAGAGATTTTCAAAAGATGTAAAAACAGTGGGGTTGTTGTTGTGGGTGATTTTAACTTCCCCTATATTGATTGAGACTCAATACATGCTAGGGGCTTGGATGGGATAGAATTTGTAAGGACCATTCTGGAAGGATTCTTGACACAATATGTAAACAGTCAAACCAGGGAAGGGATTATACTGGACCTGGTTTTGGGAAATGAGCCCGGCCAGGTGAGTGAAGTTTCAGTTGGGCAGCATTTCGGGAGTATTGACCATAATACTGTGAGTTTTAAGATGCTCATGGATAAGGATAACAGCAGTCCTTGGATGAGGGTGTTAAATTGGGGGAAGGTGAACTACAACAATATTAAGCAAGAACTGGAGAATTTTGATTGGACATGGCTTTGAGGGTAAATCCATTTTGGTCATGTGGTAGTATTTCAAACAGCAGTTAAGAGTTCAGGAGAGGCGCATTCCTACGAGAATGAAGAATAGGTATGTCAAATCATATAAACCTTGGATGACCAGGGATGTTATGACTTTGGTCAGAAAGAAAAAGAAAGCTTACGTAACGTCTAGGAAGATGGGAACTAATGAAATCCTTGAAGTCTATAAGGAAAGTAGGAAGGAACTTAAACAAGGAAATAGAAGGGCTAAAAGGGGTCATGAAAGTTGTTAGCAAACAGGATTAAGGAGAACATATATAAAAAGCATAAGGGTAGCCAGGGAAAGGGTTGGCCCGCTCAAGGACAAAGGAGGGAATCGATGTGTGGGCTAGAA